TGTGCGTTTGCCGGTGAATTTGAAGTTGACGGGACTGCTGAATCTGAATCAACATTAGATGCAGTAGGTCTTTCTGTTGAAACCAGTTCTAAGAATTGGAGTCTCTTGAAAAAATCCCACTTAGAATTTTTTGGTGGTGAAGCTGATCCGGTTGACATATTTCTTTTGCGTTTAAATCGATTGTATGAATCCCGTATATACTTCCACCGTTTTTTACAGTCTCCATCTGAAATGAGAAAATACGCTCATTTTCTTGTACGTGCATGCGTGTGCGTGAGAGTATGTATGTGTGTGTTGTTTGTATACGATATCACTTATTGAGTGATTGACAATTTTTTCCCTTCCTTTCTTTCTTTTCAGATTTATGGCAACTGGCGAAAGTTACGCTTCACTATCGTTTGCGTACCGTATATCAGCGTGTCATGTTTCAACAATCGTGAAGGAGGTTCTTAGGTGTTTAAGAAACAAGTTGGTACTTCAACTCATGCCTGAACTTACGCAAGGAGAGTTTCAACGCATTCCAAACGAATTTTGGATAAAATGGAATTTTCCGAACACCGTTGGAGCCATGGATGGAAAACATATTCGGTTAAGAGCACCTCCAATCTTTTTCAACTACAAAGCATTCTTTTCTATTGTTATTTTAGCCATCGTGGATGCTAATTACAAGTTTATTGCGGTGGACGTCGGTGCGTATGGCAAAGGTGATAGTGCAATTTTAAAGAAATCTACAATGGGACAGAAAATTATTGGAAATAACTTTAATTTTTCGGGTCCTGAGTGCCTTCCGGGAACTAATACAAAGCTGAACCATTTTTTACTTGGAGACGAAGCATTTGGTCTCGACACGTATCTGATGAAGCCCTATACAAAGAAAGTTGCAAAGAATGACGTAACTAAACAGACATTCAATTATCGCCTTTGTCGTGCCAGAAGGGTATCAGAAAATGCATTTTGGGTTGCTTTGCCAAGTATTTAGAGTGTTTTATACACATATAAACATTTTGCCGGAGACATGTGATGATTTGATATTAGTCGCCTGTTCCTTACATAACCTGTTACGCGATGGATTCCTAGAAAAATCTGGAAAAACTTTCTATCACTTCAGTAATGACGTGGAAACAACGCCACCAAACATGCACTCCTTATCTCGAGCAGGAGGCTATGCAAACAGAGCAGGATTCGAGATAAGAGAAGAGTTGAGAAAATATTTCATGTCAGACGCTGGTGCAGTTTCTTGGCAAGTAGATCGTATAAACAGAAGAAACTAAGTAACCAATAGCCCTGGTAATAATCCATTCATTGCATGATGTGTTTAAGTCAAGAAGAAGTTATATTGTATATATTGTATTATGAATGATATATGCATTATAAAAACGTAAACAACTGACCACTTTTGTTTAACTTCCCAGCTATAGCCTTCCAGACGTTATCACGAATATTCCCATCCTTGTATGACTCGACCTCAGGATCGAACAGTAGTCGGTTTTCTGCTACTATTTTTACCAATTGCTCATCTTGGTCACCAGTAAATTTAATTTCTGCCATTATTTTACTCAACAACACACGTGCTCCCTGAGCTCGTCGCGAGACACTACTGGTCCGAGAGCGGTCACCTGTGCTTTGTCTCTGTCGCCTGTCTTTGTCTCGCGCTCGTAATTGTACTTCATACGATTGTATAGAGAGCAGACAGGAAGCGACCAGTCTCGGTCTCGTAACTCTGTCGCCTGCCTCGGTCGCTTGTCTCTGTCGCGTGCAGCCAAATTGTACCGTAAAGAAGCTCTTCTCGATGAAGGTCAGGAAATTGTTGTGCATTTGGGGAAAGACAATTCTGAAAGTGACAGCAATTCGTACACGAGCGAAGATTGAGACGATGGAGCTCGTCAACATGGTACTGGGTTTTCTCAATAACTGGAGTATCTCCATTAAATATGGACAGTGACACCGATCAGTAGTGTTCGAAACACTTTGGTGCTGTGAAAGTGTCTTATAGCGGTGTTGTTATAGCTACACTGTAGTGCTTTAAAAATCCGGAGTTGTTTTCTGCGGGTCTCGAATATTGGGTACGTATGGCACATATTTTTCAATGGACTACAATAGTTGCGGATCAGCATGCTGCAATGAAGTACGTTGCTTCTGAGAAGATCCCCCTCACTACTTTCTCCTACATTCCCGTAATACACCGGGCGTTGGCCATGAGGGGGCAGAGTGCATTTGTAACGGCCATTCAAGTTTGGAGTTATTTTACTGACATTATAACATAAAATACACAATTATCTTAATTGTCTGAGAAGGTGGAACACAATGTCATGTTTTGAGGGACGTGTTAAAGAACTGAAGAATGTTTCAATAGATTGTTTTGAAAATAGTAATATCTATTCCACAACTTATTTCTTGTCACACTGCCATGCAGGTATATATATATGTAATGCGAATATATTATACTGTTTAAAGAAGTTAATTTTTAGAAGTGTATGTGGGGTTTGTATTCAGCGATCTGGGCTTTGGTTTGCAAGACTGTCACAAAATAAGTTTTCGGTAACTTATGAATTAATTTAGGTTATGTTATAACAATGTTACAAAGACGAGCACAAAAATTGGAAAGTGTAAGTAATGATCTAATGGAAAACTTAGCATTAATACTGTTATAACATTACAGTGCAATAAAAATTTGGAGTCAGCAGTGTAAAGTGATTGTCATATATGCACTCACTGTAAAAAAATATTAATTCAGTTATGAGGTTGGGATTAAATATAGCCCAAATTTAGTGATGGGAATACATATTGTGAAACTGGTCCCTAGTGCTGGTCATTATTTTGTGTTACAGATCACATGAGAGGACTGAGATCCAATTTCTTTCTGAAACGCCTGGACCATGAAGCACATGTATATCTGTACTGTAGTGAGATTACAGCCCACATTTTGTCATCAGAAAACACTTTTTCTGAGGTTCTGCATAAGATAAAGGTTTTACCACTTGGTGTTTCAAGTATTGTGAAGATTCTAGATCATAATGGGTCAGCAGAAGATGTTACTGTGTCTCTGATACCAACTGGACACTGCCCTGGTGCAGTCATGTATGTCATGTTTACATAACCTCATATCATAAATTTGTTATTAAACATTTCACCTTTTTTTATTGGAACTACAAACATGGAAACAGTACAAAGTTTGAGGTTATTGCTGACAACTTTCAGGTAAGCCTTTAAAGTGTTTTATATTCTCTTGATCAGGTTTCTGTTTGAAGGAGAGATGGGACGGATTCTCTATACAGGGGATTTCCGTCTTTGTGAAGGAGACGTGTCTCGGTTTCGTCAGTTTCACTATTTGGATGGGACGGTGAAGGTAATTGACAAGCTGTACGTTGACACCACGTTTCTGAGCCGTCGGTATCAGCGGTTTCCTTCAAGGACAGCCAGCATGTCTATTCTCTGCAATCTCATCACTTCATGGCTTCACGAAGGACATGATAATGACATCTATATTCAAACAGCTGGTAATGAAATCCAATCTGACACGCAAAAAGATGTGTCCTTTATAATTTAACCCTGAAATTAACTTGTAAACAAATTATATATGTGTAGAAATTAAATATTGCTTTGGTATTCATATTTTAGCATTGGCAAGTAATGGTTAATGAATATCCACCTAGCACGTTTAACTTCTCAGATAGTTAAAATGACAATTTAACCATTCCAGCAAAGTATGGATCAGAAGCTGTGTTCATCGCTGTTGCAAAGCAGCTTGGGATGAAGATTCATGTAAATGATACTACTTATAATGTTTATAAGAATATAGCAGAGATAAAAGAGGCTGTGACAGATGATCCGTACTGCACAAGGATCCATGCTTGTCAACAATATGTGAGTTGTTATTTTGTAGCACCACAAGATAACACTTGAATTCTTTGACTAATTCACAGATTTACCAGTTTCTGTCACTTCTTGCTTCTAGAAATGGCCGTTCCGATCGCGTGACAAGACCACCATTTTACCTTGCCGGAATAAATCGTCCAAACTACGAATTATAAGGCCTTGTGCCATGACTTTTACATCTAAAGTGTATGATGGGTCATTGGTAAGTGAAATCATGGAGTTTGTACCTGGCAATTGTGAATCTCTTGGTGCTGAAGCCACCTTTTTTTTTTTCAGGTGTATACAAATTAAAAATTGTGGGTATTTAAAACCTATTACTATGGTTGGTGGAAGTAGATACAAATATATTACTGAAACTTGGAATTAACAGTTGGTAATGAATTAATGTAGCTTGGAATGACACTAAAATGTAATTGTCTGGGAATATTTAAACATCTGATGATTTGGGAACAGTGCTGGCAAAATGAAATGAGGTTCGTGGTGAAAATCAGAAAAGGCTTAACTCTTGAAGTGCTTACTATTCGTCTTCAAAACTGTTACACTCTTTTACACCGATAATCATATAAAACCATGATTTTGCCAGTTGTTACAGATGTCTTGTATTTTAAGGTTTTGTAGGATGAAGTGAGCAGTTTAGGAAATTACATGAAGTTTCTAGTTTATTGTCTGTTGTTGTTAGGGCAGTGAAGTGAAGGATAGGTTGGGCATGTTAACAGATTCGGAATGTAGACAGAATTTTTATAATGAAACCTCATGTAAAAAAAATCCACTTGAAAAGACAATGGGAGAAGAATATTAAGATAAATTTTAGGAAGGTAGTTTGTGAGGAAGTACCCAAGAGTCATATTTATTGGTGGGCTTTTGCAATACCTTCTGCTTCCAGTGTTATTATCGTAACACATTCATGATAGGAAAGCAATTTCCTACTTCGCTGACTTTTGCAATAGAGAATGGGAGTGCAGCAGGAAACTTCTTTATATCTTATATCATATTTCATAGTTTATTGTTCATTTATTTCTTGATAGATGCCAGTAGGAGATGGTTCCATAGATAACATACATACTGGGAGTCATGATAGACTAATAATTACCTCAGTAACTTAAATAGGCATAAAGGACAAAAAAAAGTATGGTTTACCATCATCACCCTTGGTGGACTAGTGGTTAGCGTGCTTGCCCCTGGACCCAAGGTTCACGGGTTCAAACCCGTCTGAGGTCGATGGATTTTTAAGGGTGATAAACATCTGTAGCACAACTTCCTTCAGAGGGGAAGTAAAGCCGGCGGTCCCATGTCATAGATTTACGGCATGTGAAAGAACCTTATGATCATGAAACGGATTTTTCGCAAGCAAAATTCAACAGCAATTTCTCACCCAAGTCTCTCCTGATTCACTATTAGATGGCTCTAGCGGACAAATCAGGATTGAGTAGAAACTGTGAAGACGCAGTGGGCTGGTCACTCGCTGCTCATAAATGCACATTTTAAAGACAAAGAAACCTCCCACATTGGAGGAGGCCAAGGCTCGACTTCAGGCTTTCGCGCCATCGAAGAAGAAAGCATGTTTTACCTTTCTGAGTATCATAAAAGCCGAAAGAGTAGTTTTCTTGACACAGGAAAATGTTTTACAAGGTATTGTGCTCTGAAACATTACTGGACATGATTAAAAATGAGAACCGAAACTTTTAAAGGATCTGACAGATAAATTGCTTGTTATGTTTATTAATAAAATTAATGTATTTTTGCTGAAAGTGTGGTTGCGGGCACTAAGTTATATTGGTATCAGTGCATTAAGTAGACCCACATTTTGTCATGTGCCAGTTGTCTATAGTATATCAGCCATTAGTGGACAGCGTTAAAGAATTATTGACAGCCAATGTTGATGCCTGATGTGTGACTGCTTACAGGAGTCGGCGGTGTTGCAGTCCGATGATCAGGAGCTGTTCAGAGTATGTTATTCCTGCCACTGTTCATACGGAGAGCTGGAACACTTTATCAAGTATCTGAAGCCTAGACAAATACAAGCTTGCGTCATTCCACAAAACATGGAAGAAGCTGGCATTTTAGATTTATTAAAAAAAGTCAGTAGGTGGGGAAATGGCTCTTCTGATATGCCATTAATAACAGTAAGTAAGAAATGCACTAAGAATGGGATATCATCAGACATGGCAACATTCAGTACCACAGCGCTTATGAAACAAGAAAATGCAGCTTCGTCAGGTAATTTTGTGGTTGTGGAAGAGGCAAGTAGGGGAAACATGCCGATAGAATGGAGTAATGATGATGCAGAGATTTATAGGTTGATTGCGGAAGATCTTAAACCTAAAATAGGTGATCCGGATGCGATTATCAAACAAAATATACGACTAGAATTTCTGGAAATTGCAGCATGTTTGAACAAGTCAGTGGTGTGAGAGAACTGTTAAATGGGGCAAACAGAAATACTTCTGGTATTGCAGTTAAGATGGCAGTTGCAGGTGAAAGGCTATTGGTTTGATAGCCCTCATATATTTTGTATTTTATTACTTTGTGTAGTACAGGGACTAGGTTGTCTTCTGGCTTTTTTGGCATGGGCTAGCATAAAGTAGTCTGTGATATTGCAGTTTCAGTGCAAAAGTCACACGTATATGTTTCGATCTGTAAATTTTAACATGCATCCATTACCATTATGTTTTTTATATTGGCATTTTATGTTTGTCCCCATGAAATATTCCACTATTTTATGAATGAATTTTCGTAATATTTATAGTTTTTAATTTTGGAGCTGTTTTGTGTACCATCGAAGTTGCATGTTCTGGTGTTTAAGTTATGCAAGCATAAAGACTGATGAGGATTGGTTGTGATTTTCAGAGCCAGATGTCAGTTTGACATCTTTTACTTTTATATCGGACTTACCCAAACTTAAAGTGTAGAGGACTGTTAATTCAGACGCATTTCAAACTGGATACGTAGAACATCAACTGCTCCTCTTTGAATTTGCGTGAAATTTAATTCAGATACGTGGACCTTATTTAAGCGTACTGGAAAGATTAATTTTGATCTGCATTGCATAATTTTTTGCTTTTTTCTATGCGGAACTTTGATTGTGAAGAATATTTTATATTTATCATACTTTCTATTTATCCCTTTGTTAATTTTTAACAAGCTCGGTTTTCTTTCCCATATATATGGGGTATGGTAATATAAGACTTTTGTGCAGCTCTTGAGCACGTTGGGCTTCGTTTATAATAAGATGACTGGTAAGACAATTGAGGGACAATCAGTAACTTAGAAGTGACTTGCTGAGAGGAAGGAAGCATAAAATGCAAGATGTGGTTGCAGACAGACTTAAGTGGTACATTTCTGAACACTTATAATTACAGGCTAAATTCTCATTGAAGTGTTTGAATGAAATATTCAGTTGTATGTGCCTCTGCTTTTTTATTAATTAATTTTAATAAATCGTTAATTATTGTGGTTGTAAAATTGATGATTTAAAAGTGGAACTTCCTGGTACGATCATAGAAAGCGCATTTTCTGTTTTTTTCATCGCATGTCCGATTGCCATTTCGGTATATAGATCTGGGCAGTTGGGTGGAGGATGCGTGTTCATGTTGAAGCATTCTGCCTGTTTACTCTGTCAAATGCAAGATAAATTATCTGCTGTCTTGCAGTTGGTTAAAAATTAAATTACCTTTACGGCACGGTCCATAGGCGTATTACTCTCTTTCGTGTCTCTGCAACCACACACTGTTTTCTGTTTGTTGTTGTTCATATTTAATTATGAAACTTATTTGTTTTAATTGTATTGGTTGTTATAAATCTCGTGAGATGTGAACAGGCCAAAAACTGATTCATACTTTGTCGTGTTTTAGTAAACTCACCGTTTAAGAACGAAGGGTTTGGTTTTTATTCCGCCTTGTGTTTTGATTTGGTTGAAGATAATTTGAGTATGGATTATAGAAATGGAATATGTTTGTCATTTGGGCTGCAGTAACTTTTAACTAATTTCATGGAGGTCCATGAAAAAATTATCGTCTTTCATGCGGTAAAGGAACTGCTTGTCTTTTATTGAACCTGAAGGTTCATTATTGCGTTTACAATAGCCCACCACTGGTTCCTATCCTTAGACGTGTCATTGCAGCCCACACACTGTTTCTTTAAGATCTATTTATGATTCTCTAGTGGGACTGTGGGTTCGAATCCCACTCAAGCCATGGATGTCTGTCCGCATTGTGATGTCCTGTGTACAGGTAGAGGCCTTGCGACGGGCTGATCCCTCGTCCAAGGAGTCCTACCGAATGCCCATAGATCAAGCCAACTAAAAAAGTTGGGGTCCCGTAAAAGGGTACCGGAAAATGTATGAACATTATTAAACCGGAAAAATAAGATGATGATTCTCTAGTGTGGCCTCTTTTCTCAGGTTTTGTGACTAAAATCTGGGTTTATTTGTCTCCTGGTTTTCCTCAGTACTTCACATGGTTGGAGGTGAGGGTACTTTCAGATGGACACGAAAATTGTCTGTAACTCGTCATAAGCGCGATAAAGATTGAATGCCATCTACCAATAACTTTTGCAAGCAATCCCTTCTGTGATGATTTAGTCTGAAGGTTATTATTTTTGTGGATGTTTGATTTTAGCGAGTTGGGTAAAGACCTTTGTTACGAATTGTTCTAGTGGCATAGAATTTTATTTTAAAGTGTATGTAATTTTACATATTTTGCAAACTTGTATGACCATGTCTTAAAATTAATATTGAAAATGTCTTAGTCATTGTTTTTATCGTGGTACCAGTGAACCAGTTTTGGTAGTCTTTTTTGTTTTTATTTATAATCCTTATGTTTCTAATGTGGATGTTTGAAAGTGGCGTTGATGTGTGGAAATGTATGGGGTCAGATGCTTAAGGTGAAGAATCGACATTTTATAGCGCACGATGAAAATAATTGAAAAAGGTATTAATAATTGGAGTGCCTTATAATGTGTTGGTCTGATGATGGTGAATGTTACTGAAAAATGTAACCAAAAAAGTAAACAATAATCTAAAAAGAAATTTGATGACTGTATTTTAACGACCTGTTGTGATTTTAATAAAACCTTGTTGAATAATTTGAACAACTTGTTTTGAATTTTTTTCTGTTCTTGCGTGACACAATAATTTTGAAACAATGTTTTTCGAATTGATAGAATTCTGGTCTTTCAGTTACTTGAAATAAACACCAGTGAGTTTATTTTACCAAGAGGTTTCATAGGTTCTGGTGTCTGCAGGTCTAGACAGCATTTTAACCCAGAAGACCAAAATTGACGTCTTCAGTGTGATAACAAAATAAATATTCTTAATGTAAGGGTATGAGCAAGTTTAGACTGTGTGAAGCAGACAGTATATTTTTATAACAAAACAATATGGGGAAAATATTCGGATGCTTTGCTTCCTGCAATATTTAGCGTGGTTAAAATGTGAATGTATTAAATTTAGCGGTCAAGGTAACAGCAATGTAGCCAACATTAATCGCTGAGCATAGACAGAAACAGGGTTTTATCTGAATGCGTAGTAAATTTTAATGTTTTATTACACAGAAATAAGAAAATATAAATACCGGTATATGTTAATTTGGGAAATATTTACAAACCGCTTTATTTTAACAAATTATTTTTTATAAATAGCTCAGTTTGATGGGATATCGCACTATTGGCGACATTTGCATGCTCTTGACACTGCTGCCACGTTGTGACAACACTTTGCGATGATAATTTCAACATTGGACGGTAAGATGGCAGGTCTGTGAACGTTTGGCGTCAGATAACCAAAGTGCGGTCACTTGCGAACAGGAAAACGTGTTTTATTCCATGATGTTATCATTTAAAAGTGCTTGTTTCGATTTAACTTGTTTTTGTGTTGCTCCGAATCAAGAATGAACAAAGACAGGTGTTGGAAATTGCAGATATAAACAATGAAAATAGAACTTCAAAGCTTATCAAGGTTAGTGGACTAGCATAACAGACCTAATTTCTCCCTTTGGAACACGATATTTTTATACCGAAAAGCAAAATGTATTTGTGTAGTTAAGGATGTTCCATACTATACAGTTAATACAGTGGTGGCATGCAGTAATTTTCAGTGGCCGCTTTAAATTAGAAATGCCATTTTAATATGTATGGTTCATAACAAGGAAGATATCTTCCATATTTGTTTACTTTACTGGGCACATGCTACAAGGGAAGGCTTCTGCATTTGGTAGGTCGGTTATTTTTTTTCGGAAGAAATGAAGCGAGAAGTCCTTTGCTATGAAGCTATCAATGATATCTCAAGTGATGACTTCACATATCTGGCGCACTCTGAAATGAAGAAAAATAGCTTTCTGCTTCCTAGGAATTGCTTTACCATGTGACTGTGCTTACATGGTGGTTTTTTTTTGTAAAATTTTAGCAGCTACCGTTTATACTCCGTACTGAAGTTGTCGTTGTCCCACTCAAGCCATGGATGTTTGTCCGAGTCTTTCTGTGTTGTGCTGTCCTGTGTACAGGTAGAGGCCTTGCGACGGACTGATCACTCGTCCAAGCAGTCCTACCAACTGTCTAAAGAGACGAAGTAACCTCCAACAGAGGTGGCCAAGACCCACACCGGGTCGTAGAGCCACAGATGATGACGATTTACTTTTATGGCGATTTATAATGATTTAAATACGCATTGCCAACCTCTTTATGATTTAATTATATCCTTCCCTCACTAACGTCGACAATGTTATACAATTTGACAGGGAGGATAATTAGGATCTCAATGTGTGGGCGGAGAAAAAGCGACTAAAAGGGAAACTTAGTATCTGGGGGTGTAGCTGGGTCACCCTGTCTCCGGGGGACATAAATTCGGAGGCCTGGTTCTCCAGGGTGGGGATTGGGCGTGGAGGAAGCTCTTGAAGAAGGTGAGGGCTCGACACCAGAGGGTTAAAGTTAAAGATTTTATTCAACAACCGGATGATGTCAGCCAGTTGTTGATATGCCACGAATAATTGGTTTTAACTGTTGACTGTTGCAAAATGATCACATTATTCTAGGCGTTCCCCACAAACAGGAATAAAGAAGAAAACTGACAGCTAATTTGTAGACAAAAAGCTGGAATATTTTTTTATGTTGTCTGAAGTGAAGACTTTTCTGAAAGAGTTTTTCTGAGCTAGAATTTGTTTTTGAATTACTCGGTCGTTGAAAGGCAACGAAGCCACAGGAAGTAGCCAGTAAGGAAACAGAATGTTGAGTTACTGCTGAAGTCATATAAGTTTAAAATAATTCAATACCAAGCACTATGAAAGTTCGTCGGCCAGACGCGTCATATCGCAGTGAATGATGGATCATTTTCATTCTACAGTTTCATCTTCAAGCTCAGAAGAAATTGATTTGAAGAACGTCCCGGCGAATGAAGTTCAAAACGATGTTTTGAACTTAATGATGGTTTGACTATATTTTGTACATCAATTTCTGTAAGGACGAGGGAGGACTGTGGATACCTTGATTCTCCTCAGGAGGTAAGGCGAGGAACACAGACGTCTTGAATGAAAAGAAATTAATCGAAATTTATCGGTAATCCCTTTCACACCTTTTGTGGTAAGAACAAAAGCGGTGTATATATTTACTTTTTCCATGCTACATGACATATTTATTCTATATCCTTTTTAATTAATTCTTTATCCCATCATTCAATGCTGTACATTCTGATCTCTTTACTTCTCGCGTGGACACAGCGACGATACGCGATTGCCTTGACATCATCCGGAATCCCTGCTGCCATGGTCTCTTTAACGTGAGTTGTCTTCTGTTCTGTGATATTTGTTCCGTAGTTTCGATTCCCATGACAGATCCTTCAGCGCGACCTATACCACTATTATTTTCATCTATACTTAATAATTGTTGATATAGTTTAATGGTTTGGAAAGTAGAATGTTATAATTGAGAACTGGGAGGATAATATTAAGATGGATGTTGGGGAAGCAGGTTGAGGGTGATAGGTGAAGGGAACTGCTCAGGGCTGTGTGCAGAAATAGGCTTTAATATTACCTGTGTTGAACATTTGAGTTCCTCTCTTAATTAGATTGCAGGCGAGACAGATAACGGGCCTGTATTTAGAAAATATACGAGGTCTGATTTTTACGTAACTCTCTCCATAAGACAGAGTCATTCTTCAGAAGTTAATAGTCTTTTAGTTAGTTAAAGAATTCTCCGTCTTTTATGGAACCAGAACGTATTTATATACCTCTGATAATCTTATTTATACGAAAACTTATTTGTATTTCTGAGTGTAGTTTATCTGTGTTTTTGTGCTAGTTTTATGATTGAAATAATAAATAATCTGAGAGATATTTAAACTATAGAACGTTTATTGGTTAATATTATTGGTTCCAGCCTTTTCTTAAATCGTCTTATTACATGACACGGACTGTAATATTATATACAGTAGACCGTGACTTCACTTGATTATCATATAAGCTGTGAACTACATTTGCGATAATCGAATCATTCAGCAGCGAACAGACCGAACACAGTCGATTGTTCAGGTAATAGCGCACCTTATGGGGTTATCCAATTTGCTGTTAGGTTACAGACAACGGGTCCATATTAAAGGATATGATGGTATTACGAACGAAACCTTCCCTTTAACACACCATCATGAATTTATTTTATGGTAGGTAAGAAACTCACTGAAATCAACGAGAATTTGAAAATATAAAAAACATTTTTTAGTTTTTATATTTGTGTATGTTCCAATCTGTTTTCTTGTATCACAGGTGACGCAGCTGTCTGTAAATACACAACATATTTTGTTGCTGAAAACGCTAGGAGTCGAGATTTTAGATTATCAAGGCGTCGGTGTTGCTGTTCTGGACAGTAACGCCGTGTGGAATTATACAGGAGGTAGATACTATGTTTCGTAGAAACATATTGTTTCCATCTTCAGGACTAACGATGCCAGCGTCTCAGAATATGTTGTCTTCGTCGTCAAGGCTGAAGATGGAGACTTTCTGTTCTTTTCCCCGAATCCTTGGTATCGACCACAAGTCCACGCGACGTTACAACCCAGAAGAACATCGATAAGTTAGAAATTAAGAGGAGACTTGGACCTGTGTGTCAGATAGCTCTGCAGATGCACCAAAACTGTCACTATACAGATATTTTGCACAAATATTTATGCGTAGCTCTCGTCTCATGATCTTAATTGAGTTGCGAATTCGAACAGTCTTATACGAGGTGCGATCGGAAAGTTTCCAGACTGCGCCTATAAAAAAAAAACCCCGTACACTTATCTCAGGTATTAAATTCTTCCATCACCCTCGAAGTAGTTCCCCTGGGAGTGAACACAACGATCCCAGCGCCGTTGCCAAGCCTGGAAGCATCCCTGGAAATCTTTCTTTGTCAGCCTGTCAAGCACCATCTGCGATTCTGCCTGAATCTCTTCTATCGTCTCAAATCTCCTTCCCTTTAGCTGAATTTTCATCTTTGCAACACTTCGTATACACAATGCACTACACTGGTGGAGATTACTGGGCTGTGCGCATGCGCAGGTAGTATGACTCATCTATGGCACGTACGTATCTGGTGTTGAGTTACGTTACCTGGATCTACAGATGTTTGAACTCTGGATAGCTACCTAGGGTCAGTGGTTTCGGAAACGTATAGGCTAATAAATGATAGGTTTTGGTGTGTGTGTGTGTGTGTGTGTAATATAAAATGGGTTCAGAACCTGAAAATTAATTACTTTGTTCATAATATCCCGCCACTGTGTCCTGTAATGAGACAGCTGAATTCAGTCAACACCTCCAGTATCTATTTCTTTCAGACACATTTGGTATTATCCTTGTACATACACATGAAATCACGGGAAAATTGTTTTATGTGCTTTAAAATGAAGGATTTTTACATGGGAGAGGGGCCGAACTGGTTGTAACTTGTTAACAATCGAAGATTCGTTGATATTCAAACCGCGAACAAAACTCAAGCATGAAGATGGAGTATACCTTTGTGTCTACGCGGTGTAAAAACAACGTAGTGTTTTTATGAACGTTCATGTAGCTGAGAGAGGCCAGAACGTGCCACGTTTGTCATTGTATGTATGATTTGGTTGTAATAACGAC